GTTTTAAAAATAAAACAGTAGATATATTAGCTGCTACATGATTATAACTGCCAGCAAGTAAGGATCATAATAAAGAAGTGACTTCCTGACGTGTTTAGGAACACCAGCAACAGCATGCTTCATAAACTGGCTTAGATTTGGTATCTTTCAGACTTTTAGTTACCTGCAGTGTACTGTAATTTTCATTGTTTTTGAGCAGTGATAAGCACTCACAATTGAGTGGTCACGTTCTCCATACCCAAGTCAAAGAGCGGCTGAATTTGTGTTTGTTGAATTAAATTGAACTCTTAGCCTGTAAGTGTAAATTTTTTGCCATACACTTAACAGTTCAAACTGCTTCTGCTAAAATGCTTTTGATACAATGGTAAGAACAGGATGAAAAAAATGCATTTATGTATACATGATCTCAGTTATGTTAAGCGTAGATTGAAAGCAGTCTCCAAGGAGGTATGTTAGCCTGTTCATATTGTTAAATGGACAAGAGGATTATGGCGGATTTTTCTTAATACTTTTCTGTATTGGGCAAACAGGCATATGGGAATGATTTATGGTTGGGGTCTGAAGCTGTGCCCAGCTCTTGGGTGCCCTGTACATCCCGTATGTGAGGCACAGACCCATGGCAGATTGTCCTGGCCCCTGCTTGTGATTGAACCTCTAGTAGGAAGAGCTACTTTACACCAGTACGGCCTAAAAGCAGAGGTCCAATCTTTTGGCTTCCCTGGGCCACATTGGAAGAAGAATTGTCTTGGGCCAGACATCACATACACTAATGATAGCTGATGAAAAAAAAAAAAAAGTTGCATAATGTTTTAAGAAAGTTTTCAAATTTGTGTTGGGCATTCAAAGGGCTGCATGTGGCCCGTGGGCCACAGGTTGGACAAGCTTGGCCTAAAGTATTCCTCAGGGTTAAGTCAGACTGCAAACATTTGTGTATTCATTCATTCATTCATTCATTCAACACTTTTGCACTAAGTGGCTGATTTTGCCAGCCATATTAGCTGTCTCTTATACACATCTAGATGTGTATAAGAGACAGTTCTAAGACAGTCTCACTCTGTTGCCCAGGCTGGAGTGCAGTGGCACGGTCTTGGCTCACTGCAACCTCCATCTCCTGGGTTCAAGCGATTCTCCTGCCTCAGCCTCCCGTGTAGCTAGGATTACAGGCGCCTGCCACCATGCCCCACTACTTTTTTTGTATTTTTAGTAGAGATGGGGTTTCACCGTGTTGCCGGCTGGTCTCCTGACCTCAACTGATGCACCCGCCTTAGCCTCCTACAGTGCTGGGATTATAGGCATGAGCCACTGCACCTGGCCATGTGTTGGAAATTTAATTCCCAAATTCATATGTTGATTGGCAGTGAGGCTTTGGGAGGTAATTAGGGTTAAATAAGGTTATCAGGGTAGGGCCCCCATGATGGGACTGGTGGCTTTATAAGAGGCAGCAAACTTGCCCATTTGCCATATGATGTCTTCCACCAGAAGCCATGTAGATGCTGCCACCATGCTCTTGGGATTCCCAGCCTTCAGAACTGTAAGAAATAAATTTCTTTTTAAAAAATAAATTACCCAGTCTCAGATATTCTGTTATAGCAACCAGAAACAGACTGACACTAGGCTTCATCTACTTTGGCCTTCTCCTGGTCCCTAGAACAGGCTCCCCACTCCCACCCCCTTCTAAGTTCTTTGTACTTGTTATTCCCTGTGTCTGGAACACTCTCCCCTCAGAGCTGACTGGTTTCTTCAAAACATTCAGGTCTCAGCTCAAATGCCACCTCTTCAGAGGAGTCATCCTTGAACATCTGGTTAAAGTAGCTCCTCCCCCCATTGCTGCCTTATTTTTTTTTTTCATTGCACTTTGCACTAATGGTATTTGCTTATTTGTGTATGTGTTTGTCTTAAATTCCACATAGGCAGAGTCTTTGGCTTGTTTATCATTCGAAACAACATCTCGACTAGGGCTTGGGAATTAAGTGGTGGAGTTCCAAGTCTTTTAATACGGGGGTCGAGTAGTTTTTCCTTGGCAGGAGCTTCTTTTCCTGGATAGCCTCTTAATAGTCTGGAGTGCGCAGCTCATAGTTATTAGGAAATGTTTGCACTTTGGAAAAATGTCCTTGGAAATCTCTGCCTTTTCTGAGTCACAGATTGTATTTTAAATTGTTCTAGAAGGAAGTGTTTTAACCCAGTTGTAGTGACTGATAAGTGTTTTCTTTTGAGCACATACACACACACAACTCTTAGAGTATTAATTGATATGGTAATGCCCTGAGCTCATGTGATATGAACTGTTTTAAAAATAAAACAGTAGATATATTAGCTGCTACATGATTATAACTGCCAGCAAGTAAGGATCATAATAAAGAAGTGACTTCCTGACGTGTTTAGGAACACCAGCAACAGCATGCTTCATAAACTGGCTTAGATTTGGTATCTTTCAGACTTTTAGTTACCTGCAGTGTACTGTAATTTTCATTGTTTTTGAGCAGTGATAAGCACTCACAATTGAGTGGTCACGTTCTCCATACCCAAGTCAAAGAGCGGCTGAATTTGTGTTTGTTGAATTAAATTGAACTCTTAGCCTGTAAGTGTAAATTTTTTGCCATACACTTAACAGTTCAAACTGCTTCTGCTAAAATGCTTTTGATACAATGGTAAGAACAGGATGAAAAAAATGCATTTATGTATACATGATCTCAGTTATGTTAAGCGTAGATTGAAAGCAGTCTCCAAGGAGGTATGTTAGCCTGTTCATATTGTTAAATGGACAAGAGGATTATGGCGGATTTTTCTTAATACTTTTCTGTATTGGGCAAACAGGCATATGGGAATGATTTATGGTTGGGGTCTGAAGCTGTGCCCAGCTCTTGGGTGCCCTGTACATCCCGTATGTGAGGCACAGACCCATGGCAGATTGTCCTGGCCCCTGCTTGTGATTGAACCTCTAGTAGGAAGAGCTACTTTACACCAGTACAGCCTAAAAGCAGAGGTCCAATCTTTTGGCTTCCCTGGGCCACATTGGAAGAAGAATTGTCTTGGGCCAGACATCACATACACTAATGATAGCTGATGAGCAAAAAAAAAAAAAGTTGCATAATGTTTTAAGAAAGTTTTCAAATTTGTGTTGGGCATTCAAAGGGCTGCATGTGGCCCGTGGGCCACAGGTTGGACAAGCTTGGCCTAAAGTATTCCTCAGGGTTAAGTCAGACTGCAAACATTTGTGTATTCATTCATTCATTCATTCATTCAACACTTTTGCACTAAGTGGCTGATTTTGCCAGCCATATTAGTTACATTAAGCAGACTATTAACCAAAATGGACATGGCCCTGAACTCACTGTTTCTGGTATACTAGAGAAATACTTATACTATTAAGTTGGTGCTAAAGTAATTGTGATTTTGCCATTGAAAGTAATGGTCAAAACTGCAATTACATTCACGCCAACCTAATACATATTCAGGCAATTTCAACTTGTGATAAGGGTTATGAAGGAAAAGTAGCAGATGCTATCTGAGAGCACAGAGCAGAGAAGAACCTAATTTAGGTTGAGAGTTTCAGGTAAGGCTAAGACCCAAAAACCAAGAGGAGTTAGCCAGATAGAATAAGAATATACCAGACAGAGGAAGCTGCATGGCAAAGGCCAAGAGGCATAGAAGAGTGAAGAACAGAAGGAGACCATTGTGGGTCTGATGCAGCTGAGCTAGGAAGTATTGGCCCAAGATAGAAAGGTAAACAGGAGGGGGCATGGTTCTGGGAGCTGCAACTTAGAAAGCTGTTTGTGTCCAAAACAAGTCAAAGAGTTGCTGAGGACAAGGGGTGCAACCCCCTAATAACAAAAAGTCTCCTTGCTTGGATCTCCACACACATTCAGAGTGTTTGTTGTGGCCTCACAGGATTTTTTCTAAGGCTAAGTAAGCATGGCCAGAGGTAACTGGATGCCATTAGTGCACATCACCACTGCAACTTCTGTAAAAACCTGGCCTCTCCACACTGAATGTCAAAATGTATTAAACAGTGCATGCTCTGAGAAAAGTGAAGGCATGCTAGATCCAAGCATTTAAGTTAGATTGGCCATCCACCCCGAGAAACAAATGTTCCAGTAATCTGTTAGTTGGGGTATACAGTGTTGTATTCTGTTTATAATTCTACCACCAAGTTTTTGGGATGGGGTGTCTTCTTCTATAAAATAGCATTAAGTAAGCATTTCAATGAGGTCCTTAATGTGAGGCATGATGTAGTAAACACATTAGCAGTCTTTTTTTTGGTCACTTGTTTCTTACTCAAGAGAAACATCTTGGTTGAGGGCGTGGTGGCTGACGCCTGTAATCCCAACACTTTGCAAGGCCAAGGCAGGCGGATCATTTGAGGCCAGGAGTTTGAGACCAGCCTGGCCAACATGGCGAAACCCTGTCTCTACTAAAAATGCAAAAGCTAGCCAAGCGTGGTGGTGCGCGCTTGTAGCCCCAGCTACTCAGGAGGCTGAGGCACGAGAATCGCTTGAACCTGGGAGGTGGAGGCTGCAGTAAGCCAAGATCACGCCACTGCACTCTAGCCTGAGTGACAAAGCAAGACTCCGTCTCGAAAAAAAAAAAAAAAAAAGAAAGAAACATCTCTTTAATTATTGCCAGTGTAAATTAGTGTGAAAACAGAGATCCTGTAGCCTGCTTTCATGTCTGTGTGGACATACTGCAGTGCAGCTGATACCTCATTATTGTCAGCATGCAGTTGTACTAGGAAATTTTCACATGTGATCATAGCTCATTACTGAAACCCAACTATTTTAAAAGAAATGCCCTTGAGTCATAGGCTTGATTTATTGCCATGGTATTCTCTGATAAATGGTTAATGGTTCTTCCCCTAAGTGAGCATACTTCATTTGCCATCTGTTTAAAATCACTACAGATTGAAAAGTAGTATATTGAACTCTAAGGACGTAATCTCTTTCTTACACTGGAATTCTGAAGAAGAATGTACTGAGCATTACTTACTCTTTCTTTCTTCTTAGATTCTTCTTAATCCTTTGGTGAAAACTGAGACACAAGATGGCCGCAAATAAGCCCAAGGGTCAGAATTCTTTGGCCTTACACAAAGTCATCATGGTGGGCAGTGGTGGTGTGGGCAAGTCAGCTCTGACTCTACAGTTCATGTACGATGAGGTAAGTGTTAATTTTATAATGGATCAAAGTTTAGGCTTTCAGAGAATATTTCCCTAGTTTAGTTTTGGTGCTATTTTGTATGGATTCTTTGAATCCTCGAAACTATTAATAATTTTTTTTCATTTTTGTGTTTAGAGCCATCTGTACATGACTTGATTTTACAAATCAGGAACTTACGGTCCTTAAAATCCTCATGCTTTAAACACAAAACTAAACTAAAAGCAGTGCCTCTTTTTTTAGTAATCTAACTTTAGCTTTTTTGTTTTTAGGTTTTATTGGAGATTCCTACCTTTAATTAATGGAAGTGGTGGGTATAGTACTTTATAGGTTAACATATATAAAGTATCTTTTAGGCCAGGCGTGGTGGACCATGCCTGTAATCCCAGCACTTTGGGAGGCCAAGACGGGTGGATCACGAGGTCAGGAGATTGAGACTGTCCAGGCTAACACGGTGAAACCCTGTCTCTACTAAAAATACAAAAAAGTAGCCGGGCGCCGTGGCAGGCACCTGTAGTCTTAGCTGCTCAGGAGGCTGAGGCAGGAGAATGGCATGAACCCGGGAGGCGGAGCTTGCAGTGAGCTGAGATCACACCACTGCACTCCAGCCTGGGCAACAGAGCGAGACTCTGTCTCAAAAAATATATATATATATTTTAATAAACTTGATGAAAAAGTCATTATTGCATGTTTGGCATGGCACTACCCTCATCATTAAACAGGCTGTGTCTCTAAAATTTATAATTACTACACAGGTTACAGATTTGTATGCCTGTATTCATTATCAGACTGCATCATCCCTGAGTTAAGGTGTAGCCTCTATACAGCAATGTAGTCTTTCCCTGGAGGACTGTTATCAAGTCTTAATGATAATTTAAGAGTTGGTAATCCAATGTGAGCATTTATCCTCACTTCTGTTTTCTCCCAATAAAAGCCAGGTTTTATGGTTGCAGAAAACTTAGTCCTCGTAACAATCTTGTGTGGGAGATGGTGGTATCCCCATTTTACAGATGTGAAAACAGAACCTCAGAGAGTTACCCAACTTGCCCAAGAAAAGTGACCTGTGATGAGCAACAAAGTGTTAAACCTGGTCTTTTGACTAAAAATACCTCTACAGACTTTTTCCCACCCCATGTCTTTATCTCTTTTTTTACCTTTTATTTTTTTTTAAATAGAGACCAGGGTCTCGCTCTGTTGCCCAGCGTGATCCTCCCACCTTGGGCTCCCAGAGCTGGGATTACAGGTGTGAGCCAGTGCACCCAACCCCCCATGTCTTTTTCTATTGCCTGTGTCCCACCATTCTTTTTACATACATACATAAAACCCTTAAATCTATCAGTTGCCACGCTTGTTAGTGAGCGAATTAAAAAGTTTAGGGAAGGCGTAGGCAGGAGAATCACTTGAGCCTAGGAGCTTGAACCAGCTGGCAACAAAGTGAGACTCTGTCTCTATAAAAAAATTTAAAAATTAATTGGGCATGGTGCTGCACACCTGTTTTCCTAGCTACTTAGGAGACTAAGGCAGGAGGATCATTTGCATTGGAGGTCACAGTGAGCAATGACTGTGGCACTGCACTCCAGCCTAGACAACAGAGCAAAACCTCTGTCTCTTTTAAAAAAAAGTTTATGGAGAGAGGATTGAAGTTGTACTTTAAATGAAATTACTGATGTATTCATTCAATTCTGTTTTTCATACTGTTTATTTAAGAGCTAATCTTCTCTCAGACTAACCCTTAAATCGGTCTCCTCTTGACAATAAGGAAGCCAAAAGTAAGAATATTCACATGCTTAACCTTTTTTTTTTTTTTTTTTTTTTAAGGTAATGTCTGTCGCCCTTGCGGTGGTGCAGTCTCAGCTCACTGCAACCTCTGCCTCCCAGGCTCAAGCAGTCCTCCCATTTCAGCCTTCCAAGTAGTTGAGACTACAGGCATATGCCACTATGCCCAGCTAATTGTTGTATATTTTTGTAGAGACGGGGTGTATCCATCTGTTCTCACAGTACTATAAAGAATTACCTGACACTGGGGTAATTTATGAAGAAAAGAGGTTTAATTGACTCACAGTTCCGCAGGCTTGACAGGAAGCATGACTAGGAGGCTTCAGGAAACCTACAATTGTGGCAGAGGGTGAAGGGAAAGCAAGTACATCCTCACATGTTGGAGTGGGGGTGGGAGTGGAGAGAGAGAGCGAGAGAGAGAGATGTGCACACTTCAAAAACCATCAGATCTCATGAGAATTCACTATCATGAGAACAGCATGAGGGAAGTCTGCCCCCATGATCCAGTCACCTCCCACCTAGTCCCTCCCCCAACATGGGGAATTACAGTTCAACATGAGATTTGGGTGGGGACACAGAGCCAAACCATATCACAGGCTTTTGCCATGTTTCCCAGTCTGGTCTTGAACTCCTGGGCTCAAGTGATCCACTCACCTCAGCCTCCCTAACTGCTGGCATTACAGGCATGCGCCACCACACCCAGCCCACATGCCTAACTTTTAATGAATGACTAAGCCCATTAATAGCATGTAAATGTGGTGGAATGTTATTTAACTTTTACAGTTACAAATACACTGTGTCCATTTTTAAAATAATTATTTATTGAGTATCTACCATATACCAGGCACTGTTGTAGGCTTTAGAGATATAATGATGAGTAGCATATGCAAGGTCCCTGCTCTGAGGGGTTAAATTCTAATGACAGGATATAGTCATAGCAAATAAATAAGAACATATCAGATAATGAAAATATTTACAGGAACTAATAAAAAACCCACAAATATCTGTGTATAAATGAACACGTGCTAAAAATGATATCAAAAGATAGGCCAGGCATGGTGACTTACACCTGTGATCCCAACACTTTAGGAGACCAAGGCAGTAGGACTGTTTAAGCCCAGGAGTTCAAGACCAGCCTGGGCAACATAGTAAGGCCTTGTCTACGTACATACACATGTACTTATCATCTATCTGCCTGCCTACCTACATACTGGTTTATCAGGGTATATTAAAGTGAGATTTATGGGGCTGCCGATAGGAGTGGGAATGTAAAGTTGTTTAATTGTACTATTTAAAAAATCAAAAGTTTGGGAAGAAGTCTCATAAAGTTTAAGGTTTGACTTTTATTGAGTAGTATAAATCACTTTATTTACTTGGCTCATTTTAGAAAAAGAAATGATTTAATGATACTTTCAGTGCTTACCAAAATATTGACTTTTAAGTTATTTCCACAATTCTAGCATGAAAATTTATATTCAGAGTCACATAGAAAAAAGATTCTTATAAATTTGGTAAAGTATACATGTAATAGTTTTTGCAGGTATTGTGTTTTAAGGAAGAAAAGCTGTTTTCAAGCTGTAAAAAGCCTAGAGGTAATAATTCAGCCCTCTCTTATTGCAAATGAGGAAACCTACAGATTGTCTAAAATTAAAATTAATGTAGTTTTTACCAATGGAGGAATCTGGGCAAAGGGTATACAGAACTCTTCTTGTACTATTTTGGCAGCTTCACATGAATTTATAATTATTTCAAAATAAGCAGTTTTGAAACGTAAAAATAACAATTAAAAAATTGGTGTGTTTTTATCTTTTCTAGTTTGTGGAGGACTATGAGCCTACCAAAGCGGACAGCTATCGGAAGAAGGTAGTGCTAGATGGGGAGGAAGTACAGATCGATATCTTAGATACAGCTGGGCAGGAGGACTACGCTGCAATTAGAGACAACTACTTCCGAAGCGGGGAGGGGTTCCTCTGTGTTTTCTCTATTACAGAAATGGAATCCTTTGCAGCCACAGCTGACTTCAGGTATGTCCTAGAGTAATGTTGCTTGTGACATACCATACAACAATTTCTTCCCCACACACAAGTAGACAACTAGAGGTTCTAACTTGTTAGTCTTTTACTCTAATTGTGTTTATTCCCTTTTTGATATTAGTATATGACTCTCTCTACTGTGTTATGTACACACGGTTAGGATACTTTGCATAGTCTTACAGCTATTCCAGTGTCACCTGTATTAGAGTTTGATCTTGTGACAGCTTCACTTACCCAGAATCTCTATGAGTTACTGAAGTATTTCTCTTTAGTGTAAACTACTGCTGCCATAATAGTTCATACTTGGAGCACATAGTGGAGCTTACCCAGGTGTTACAGCTTTCTCTGTTAGTCACGGTTTCTCAGCACCTATGTAATGTTCAGCAGACACTTTGCCATCCTCCTCAAAATATAGATGCCCTAATAGCACAGGCTAATTTTGTTTGTTTTTCTTATTACATGGGAACCTTCAGAATGAATGAATTTTTGAATAGAAATAATATCTCTGTAGATGGGCACACTAGATTGTTATATAATATTTTTAATATTTATTGTTTAATCAAAATCTGGAACCCATTTGGTTTTAGAGGAGGTGGTTTTGGTGAAGGGGAAAGAGGTACTCCTCTATAAGAGAAATTTGGCATAGAGTTCTTGTGTGGTCTTGCAAATACTACATGCAGAAATGAAGTGTTCTTTAATTAGAGTGATACGTATTTTTATTTCTGTGTTAAGTGTCTACTTGATTATGGAGGACAGAAAAGAAGCATGTAATGTATCCACTATTTTCAAGATTCACACAGCCTAAATGAATATATAAGGCATTTAACCAAGAGCAAGTTAGTGACAAAGTAGGAAACATGGGCAGTGGTTAGTACAGAGGATCTGGGAGGGGAAAGAAACTGGGAAACCTTCATGAAATAGATGAGCTTGAAGAAAAGAAGGATTTTCACATATAAGGAAAGAGGGCATTTCAGGTGGTTGAGCAAAAAACTAAACCAAGGCTTATACAAAGCATTCCTTTTTATGCACACTTGAAAATCTCAAGAACTTATTCTAATAGAGAATAATAGGTAAATACTTTGTAAACATGTCCAAGTTAAAGACACAGAGAAGTGACTCACCAGTTTGCTAATCCACAGGAGACTGAGAGATTGTGTCTGTGCCTGTGTGCAAAGCATTTTAAAGAATCAGTTGCAATGTCCATTTCATGGCTCTTTTTACTAAATAGGAAAATCCACTTACTAAAAGTACAAAAAGTAGGTAATTGAGAAACTCTGAAGTATAGATTTATTTATAAAATAAAGTGTGTTGGTTTCTATGAGGAAGGAATTTCATATATGATGACATGCAAAGGGTGGCAGACCCTGGTAACTTGTAATTGGGAGACATGTTGAAAGTTATGTAAATGCCAATGCTTATTCATTCAGCAGATATTTGAGTGCTTATAATGTAGCAAGTCGTGTTCTAAGTAATGGAATAAATGTTAATCACCATAGTCACCAAAGTCAAAGTGGTATCTCAGGAGAATAAGGTATTTTCATGCCAAGAATCTTGGGCGATTATTATTACAGAAAATAAGGATGATTCATTACTCTTATGGCATACCTCCAGTGCCCCTGCCATAAATAAAAATGACCCTACTGACTCACCAACAATATGAAAGACTTTTTTGAAAAGGTCTGAATGGTTATAGTAGGCACTCCATGTGGTCTAAACTACAAGAGTAGCATAAATATCAGCTCCTCCCTTTAGCCTTCCTGGTCATCTCTATGATCCACAAAATCCATTACTTCCTTGTCTATATATGCGATGTCCTTGATACAACTCCAGTATCACACTTAACACCCATTCCTTGCCTGTCTCAGTATCCCCAGTACCTATATATGACATAGTTGCTAGCATATAATCTATAGTAAGTACATGTTTAGTAAACATTTGTTTTGACTCAAAAACCGTTACCTTTTGGTTTTTACTTTCCTATGTCAAAATGAAGTTGGACCAGATTGTACTTCCCTATTCTGAAATTCTGTAATAGCCTCTAAAACTGTATTTAAAGGGAGTATTGTATTAAGCAAAATGTATATGAAGTTTATACCATAGGATTACCTTTCTCTGACATCCAGGAAAGTTGCTAATAAAACCAATCTATTAACTCTGAAAAAAAATAACATCTTCTCGCCTCAGAACCCAGTAGGTCCAGGTTTTCTACAGCCTTGTTTCTGCCAGCATCAATCACACTATAGTTTTTCAGCATTGGTTTCCCTGCAGCGCCTGACTCAGAGTAGCTTAGTAGGTATTTATTAAGAAATAAATTAATGACTATATATACACACATATAACCAGAGGTGCTAGAGTTAAAAACACCTGAATCAGTCTCACCTTCCAAGTGGTGAGACTGAGTGGCAGGTTAGTTGTTGTTAACAACTTCATTCAGTGGCGATCATTAAGTCAGGAAACAACAGATGCTGGAGAGGATGTGGAGAAATAGGGATGCTTTTACACTGTTGGTGGGAGTGTAAATTAGTTTAACCATTGTGGAAGACAGTGTGATGATTCCTCAAGGATCTAGAACTAGAAATACCATTTAACCCAGTGATCCCATTGCTGGATATATACCCAAAGGATTATAAATCATGCTACTGTGAAGACACATGCACATGTATGTTTATTGCGGCACTACTCACAATAGCAAAGACTTGGAACCAACCAAATGTCCATCAATGATAGACTGGATTAAGAAAATGTGGCACATATACACC